TCCTCCCCAAAAAAATTATCAGCTGGATCCACCCTTTCCTTGACTTTACGTACCATTTCAACAAACAAAAAAGTAGAACTACAAATAGAGGCGGGGGGGGAAATCACATGATAAAACTCTCAAGAAACTAACCATGGCTGTCACATGTAAACAAAACCAAACTGAACTCTTTATTCATGTTTTGTTTTCTATTCATAACGAGAAGCCTCTATAGCACTCGAGAACTTTGGTCAAGAGCTGGAAGCCAGTGGACTTCACACAGAAAGTAGAAAGTGAAAGGACTTTTAAATGATGACTTCTTAATTGAACTATCATATGAGCAAACTAATTTTTTTGAAATTTTTAAACAGCACCATTGGGTGATAACACGTAGGGTAATGTTTGGCAATTGCTAAACTTGCACCAATTTGGTGGCTTTCTCAACCAGTCATCCATGTGAAGATTCTTAACTTTAGTTGATTTTTTCCACTGAATGTAGAAAGTGACTTGCGAATAAAACTGTTGTTTTAAGCCAGATATAGCTTCTCTCATGAGGTACAAACTATGTCAAAAATCCCACTTAAGTTTTTTAAATTTTGAAGCTTGACAGCTTATTTTTGAAATTTCTTTCATCATGACAAGTAAGAAATGACAAATTTTTTTCTTTGGTAAAAAAATTTGCAGGAACAGAAGCTAATTTAGCTGAAAGCAAAATAAAAGTACATGTGTATATGTACTTCAAAATATTTTTACATTGTAGAATGAAGCAAAACACTTAGCTGTAACATAACTGATAAGGGACATTCCATGCACATTCAATTTTGAGTGTTTTGGGAGGCATGGCCTATTTCCAAACTTCCAAATCTCATTTCTCTAACACCATTAAAAAGAATATAAAAACATAAAAAAAAAAATGTTTATACGGTATGCAGATCAAAATATTTTTTTCAGTTTGGGTTAGTCAGGGTACTCACCTTTGCTTTCTACTGTTTTTACCATTGTTTCAGCAGAATGCATTACACTTCACTAATTGAAGTCCCTCAAGCAATAAAGTTGAAAAACTTGATAAAATACTTGAAGCAATTATATCTGAAATATGTTTTTCGTCAAAAATATTTCAGATACCAAATACAAAATACTTCCATAAAAGTATTTTATATACAAAATAGTATTTTAAAATACTTTTCAAAATACAACCAATAGTGATGCAGTTTCACAATTTCTCAAAACTTGGTTGTGGTTTACAATTGTACATAACTGAACGTTTCCCTTCACCACTACTAGTTTTTAACACTATCACTAATGTTTTTGCTTGTAATTGATAAGGGTCTCAATCCATTAACATTGAGTTTTGTAACAAGATCACCAAATTTTGAGTTTCCTTTTTCAAACCAGATGCTAAGCTTGATTTAATTTCTTGGCATTATATCATTATTCTCTGTGCTGTTCATTTTCCTCCTATGTGAATTTGAACTTTTGGACCTCTCATTTTTATAGTTCTCAAATTCACTCATCACACCAAGATGAATCGTCTATAATGGGTAAAGAAATAATCAGTTCCCCAGAGAAAGAATGACCATTGAATTCAGTCTATTGAAAACCATTAGGTGCATTTTAAAATTTATATTACTGCTTATTATTTTTAGTTTTAAGTGTGCCTTAAAATTTATGGTCGCACTGTAGTAACCACTTATTGTCTGTTTGGTAGGTCAAACACATTTCTCGTGGCACTTACACTTTAGCACCTAACTCTTAAAATATGTTCCATCTAAAATAGCACATTTGATGATTTATTAATTTGAACACTCGTGTAGCAAGATTCTCTCTCTCCACAGCTCGAGCACAAGCTTTTATTCAGTGCATATAACCACCTTTCATACAGGTGGTGATGCATAATGTGACAATATAATATAACGTCTGTGAAGTGGTTTCCAAAATCAATTGATATTTCGATGTGCCACTCGAAATAAGTTTCATTCAATTAACTGAAATTTTGAGTTGTTAAAAATGTACTTTTAAATACTGCTGCAGGCAGTGAAAAATAGCTGTGAAATAACAATAATGTATGTTATCATGTTTAACTCGATATTTAAATTTTCAACAGCAGATCAATAAAAAGTATTTTTTGTATTTTGAAAATTCAAAATACTACCAGAAAGTATTTTTGATAGAAATACATGTTTAAATACATATTTTCAATACAAGTATATTAGATACTTGAATGAATACATTACATTCAAGTATATTACATACTGCCCAACTCTGAGACTGGTATGATTAAAACCAAATTATTTTTCAAAATTTAAAAAAATTTATTCTTCAGAATTCCACAAGTACATATTATACAGTTTAGCTTTTAAAATGTAATTCTCAATAAAAAAATAATTGAATACAAAAACTCTTGCTATTCTTTCAGTTGATATAATTATTGCCATTCATATTTTTGAGTTACATTTGAAAATTGTTTGGGTTTTTATTATTAACCACAAAAAAATATTTTAAAAGGCAAGCTCCTTCCTTTAATAATTTCTTTTTGGAGAAGGAAAATCTCCAATAATTTATTCCAGTTTTTTTTTATTGAAAACTGCTACTAGATTCCTAGAACCTAGGGGTCTTGAATGCAATTATTAATCAGATGCTGGTTAATCAATTCTGATTCAGAAACTTAATTGTACCTTAGTGTCTTGAAAAACTGGGTAAATGCTAAAATCTTCAGCTGTATTCTCATAGTTACAAAATTCTCAATTCATCTGGTCTTTTGACTTATTTTACACTAGTGAGAAAATTTGTACCAAACCTATTAGAAAAACTCGTAGTTTTCAAGATGTAAGAATTTCATTTTTTAGTTAGGAACTACCACACCTACAAATGAGGTAGATATGGTGGTTTCTGTCTCAAAATTTTTCTGTTTTGAATGTTGTATATAATAGTCATTGGTATATAAAATTAATTTTCTTGATAAGATCTGTAATTTATTTTCTTCTAAACAAATTATTGGAAGAAATCCATGTTCCTTCACACAATTTATTTTTATATAACATCATACAATTAAGTGTAGTCTATTGCTTACAAATTTAATACATTGCTTCCCAGAATAATACCACTAAATTGTCTTGAGTTTGGAAGTACTTAGCTCTAGATACAAAACAAATAAGAAATTTTGTAGCATCACAAGTTGAATACACTGTTATTTTAACAGAATTACGTTAAAATAAGTAGGTTATCATTTGCTCTTTTTTATGAGAACTTTTGTTTGAGATACATTATAATATTATATAAGAATTTCAGTAACATTAATAGTTTCACTCAATAGAAATTTTTTTCCTTCACAATATCACTTAAAAATCTCTAGTCTCATCCTCTGTTGTTTTTTTTCCTACTAAAAGAAGCAAAAACTATTCATTTGTATGTCCACTACTGGTGATAATTGGAAGCGGTATCTTACTTTTTCCTTCCTTTCCTAATCGTAATGCGTAAGCATTTGCATGTTCAGGTTTAATTAAATTATTCTCACAGAAGCCCTTCAAAGCTGAAAACACGTTTGGAGAAGAAATTTTAACTACCCATCGTAACTCCAAATCTTCTCCATCTTCAGTTTCTATGTCACTTCCCCATTTACTATTTCCATTTGTGAAAGTCAAAGTTTCCACTTTAGCATCAACAGGGAAACATTTGGCAGCAAACTTCTTTCGGTTTTCATGCTGGGTATAATCTCTACTACCAAAAATTGTTCTGGGCTTCTCCACATTGTAACTTGGAACTGTCAAAGACGCAACACCACCTTCTTTTCTAATTAAAATTTTATGGAGAGACTTAATGTCTCGTCCAAAAAGACAAAGGTCTGTTACTGACGTGAATGAAAAAGCATGAAGAAACGTTTCTCCCATTTTGGCTTCAAGTACACCGTTGTAAAATAAATAAGAAGTGCCTAAAATATGTGCACAGAAAATTGGTCTTGCACGTACAAGTCCACGTTTCTTTTTTGTAATCTTTTGTATAATTGTAATCCACAAAATGTCCTTATGTTTAAGAATGTCAATATCACATTCCAAATTATTTAGTCGGCAACCTTGCACAAGTTTACCATGAAGACGTTTCACGTCCACAACCTTATCCAGAGGGTTTTTCATTTCATATGCATGCCAGTTTCTCCGTTGGCTGTGCAAAGACACATTAACGGAACACAAACGTAAATGCAGTGTTTGTAATGAAATTATACTTTCATCTTTAATCACATTGGTTAATTGATTCACCATCACCTTTTTTGTCACATTTTTTATTTTTCGCCTGGAAATTTCTTGAAGATGATTCGGAAAACACGAAATAACATGCTTTTGAAAATCTGCAATATTGAAATGACTGAGAACGGCACGAATATTCTTCAATTCTGAAGCTCGACTCATTTTAAACAATTTCAGAAAACTTTCAGCTCGTTTTAAAAGTTTGTTCCCCTTCAAAACACTGGCTATCGAATGGCACTATGAAAAAAAAAGAGTGAAATCATTCAATCAACTTTCCTACTAAGAGTTAGTATACTGTCATTTCAAAGCGAAAACTTAAAAAGTTTCTAATTTCAGAATATCGACCCCTTTATAACTCCAATAACGTTCAATTATATTTTCCTGGACATGTTTTGATAAATAAAAGGGCAGCAAAAGGGGTTCTTACACTTCACACGCTTTCGACTTCGACGGACTTCGATTAGAAGTAGATTTGAACTTTTTGATAATCTTGTGATAGTGATGGCATCCGGAGGTGCCCCGACGATTGGTTGAAATGATATTACGTGCATATAAAGTACGATTTGTTTAGCCATGCACTTGACGTAAATCAGCTGTTCACGGTTTCATCCAATCATCTCCTTGATCATCTCCATAGTGGTGGCGTCACTGTAGCAACATATCCCGATTCGGTTAAACCGCAACAACTGAATTTACGTCAAGTGCGTGATTAAATAAATCATGCTGAAACGGATTCAAGAAATGCGGTAGAGTGGGGCTTTTAGTTAGGATATTGGCCACTAGATTTTATGAAGGAATGCCAATCTCTGGAGAATCAGTCATGCCTTCGCAACGTTTTCAATAATTTGCGTTCTGTCTCAGGTGTTCGAGTTATCTTCTGTGAAACATATTTACATGCTTCGGTCATTTCTTTAGAGCTTTTGGAGAAAATTACGGATTGAAGTTCTCGCCTTCAAAAGAAAAGTGTTTCTATTTCGCGCCAGTGAAGATGAGTTTGAAATGTCATCAGTGCGTGCTGCGAGCTTTTACCTTCAACTGTTTTTGTGCCAAAGAAGGGAAGACATGTTAAAGAAAAGTTGCGCGAGTAATATAACTTTGGTTTTTATTTTTTGACACGTGTGGGCAAAGAGTATCTACTTGGCCTATCTAGTGTCAGACAGAGAGAATATTACGGTGTCAGACGACTGGATTGGGGCAAGACCAGTGATCTCTACTACAGAGCTCACTGGACAGGACAGAAAAGCGAGACCAGACCAAAGAAATTAGAAAAGTAACTAGTACGCGAAAGTATGTGCCATTTTTATCGCAACTAGTTCTTTTGTTAATACATGAAAATGAGAGAGAATAACATGTGTCTTTTTTATTCATAATCATTCGAGTATAATATTTTTATATCGACTCTTGGTGAAAATAGTTTCTCCAAAGATTTCTCCGTCCGTTTCTGTTCCCCATTCTTTCCCAACAACGAAACAAATCCCCATTTTAGGGACAAAATTCTACAATCTGGCAACCCTGAATGCACATTAGTGTGCTATTGTCTTTAAATATAGAGCTTCAATATCAAAAGTTAAGGTTATAACAAACTTTATGATTGGATAACTTTTTCTCTCTTCTTCCAGCTTGTGACCGTAAAGAGACATCTATTTAAATCACTATTACAATTACAGTACCTTGAGTATAGGACTGATTCGATGGAAACTGGCGGGCTGAATCGTAAGTATACGGAAGGAAGCTACAAGTGGCAGGCTTCGTGAATCCCCACCCCCACCATGGCCTAGATATTTTGGAAAATTGTGGACAGCGAGTTTAATGTGGTCATAGAGTGTAAACGTCTAAACACGGATTTCACAGCGATGTTTTCTGTGTACTGGATTGCTTTGTCAAATGTTCTCTACGCTTCTCATGTGAACTTGTTTTTTCATTTCAATTGACGTGTATTGTGAACATCAAGATATTGTATGATTTTTATAAGAGTTAAAAATGCATATGTACTAGTTATTCGTATTATCAATCGTAAATATATAAGAGAGATACTTGAAGTGCATGAGAAAACACCGAACAATTACTTCCTGAGTCCTTGACTTCAAGTTTCGATGCATTCAAGGCATGTCAATGGTATTACGTCGAAATGTTTCACGATTCGTTGTTTAAGAAGAGAAATTGTGAACTTAGTTACTGGGAATGACGACGCTGTGTGTTGTGAATGCCAGAAATTAAGCTAAATCGGGGATTTAGTCCTTTGACGCCATAAGTATCGGCATTTGTTTATATACAATCGAAATGAACGTACATGAACTGTGTTTTGTGTCTGCCAAGGAAATGGATGTTTCTAATTGTGAAAGTGAAGAGGTAAGTGATCCACAATTTGCTTTATCAATCAATCTATGCTTTATCAATCTATCTATCTTTTTTTCAAATGGCCTACAACTCTTTGAAAGTAATGACCATAAAGCATGTTAATTCCAAATGGCTTGTATTTTAGTCATAGTGATGGTAAAAAAAAGAGTATTTGTTTGTATTTTATGTCTGGATAAGGACATTTATCATTGCAAGCTATAGTACCATGTAGTT